GGCATGCGCTAGGCTCTTACGCCAGGCGACGTTATTTTAAAATACCTATGTCTGCATTAAGTTCACATCTTGCTGTGCGCAGAGCCCTTTTGCACGTGTTGAGAATGCTTCAGCTGCGCAAAGGCAAGGAGCTGCAGCAGACGTTTCCCAGCGGCGAAGCCAACCCGCTGCCTCGCAGTTAATTTGAATTTTTAGTGGGGGATGCAGAAACGGCCGGGCCGGGTGAGACTAACGACCGTTCCTGTCGCCACGGTGGAAGATGTGCTTCTGTGCGTCAGGGAAGGCGGCAGTTCGGCATCCCCTTCTGCTCAGGGCAGCCTCTCCCAGCGAGCACGTCCCCGCGGCACCGGGCACCTTCCGGCACCGCGTTAAACAACGCGGCTCACATCTGTCGCCTGTTTGTTTTCTCCTCCCGTCCCCAGAGGGAGAAGCGTGTACACGGGCGGGATGCAGCCATGGCGGTGACAGCTGGGCTGTGCAACGGCGCAGGCTCTTCTCCCCCGCAACATGGAGCTGCACTGGGCAGCACTGGTGGAAAAACTGCAGCCCCTTATCCCTCCCTCCGCTCAGTGGAGGGTTTGGATTTAAAAAAGACATGTATGCGTGCACACATGCACATAGAAATGTAATATATACGCATTTACGTGGTGCATTATGTGTAAGGGGCATAAATTTACGCAGACAGATTGCTCTTCGTTTATGCTAACGGGGGTCAGAGTATGCCTAACCCCGAGAGCAGAAGGTGGTGGTGTTTGTAATGGCCTTTTGTTCTCGGAGGAGATCATTCTCCAGGCTGGGCCCCAGGAAAGGCCGGTCCCCAGCACAGATGAACGCTGCCGTCGCTGCCGGGGTTACGTGATGGCAGAGACGTGAAGCTGTTGACCGTGGTCTTCATCCAAAAATTCCAGCTGGATTTTAAATATCTCTAAATCCCGAGGCTTTTGAGTATCTCAGAGATACGGCCCAGGATGTTGAACCGATTGTATGGGAAACCGGCTGAAGAAAGAAGCCTTAGACAACAATCTTACTTCTATACACTTCAGAAATGACTGAAGCACTCTGTATACAGAGGATCTGGTAATCTGGGCTCCAGATCAGTGTTTGCAGTTATGGTTTTATATGAGCTATTCTTCTTGCTTCCAGAAATCATTTATAAGGCCAAATAATAGGAGAATTGGCTCCTAAAAGAATCTTGATTCCCAAATTATAGAAATACAACAGAATATTACAGATTTAGTGCTGGTACTTCCCCATAAAAGCAAAAAGAAATTAAAAAGAAAGAGAACAGTAATCATAAATACCAATTTGGTTCATTCAAGCATTCAAAGCTGGTTACTGTTAACAATGGCCCTGGAAATACAGTCAGCGAGCATGTGAGATATGGGGGATGTTTTATGGGCATCGTGTGCTTGGGAAGAGGAGCGAGTCCCGTCTCCTTGCTGGGTGCTGAAATCAGAGCATCTCAAATTCTCCGGCATATGCTTGGGGATGGGGAAAGCAAGCAGGTAATCCCCTCGAGAAAGTGTAATGCTGACATTGTTATTTCTAAAGCGGTGTAAACATAGACGGTATTTGATAAACAGGTACATAAAACAAAGCTAGATAAAGACAAGGCTCCTGCCTTGAACGTGTACCCCGGGTTCAGTTTGCTCTAACATGCCGTCTTCTTGTTCAAACTCAGGGATGTGCCACTGTGCTTTACTTAAGCTAAATCTCTTTTTTTATACCCAATTTTCCATGCCGGATCCCTCACTTGGTCCCAAGCATGGAATGGCGCTGGGCGAGACCAGGCGTCCCCAGGTAGCTGTGGTGCTCACCCCGGTTATGCCGGGCAAGAGGCACCCACCAGGGTGCTCCGGCTGCACCCGCCTTTCCCCTCCCGCAAAGTCAACTGCGCCAAACAAAAGAACAGGTTGGAAATTGAGCCTGGCAATAAAGAGGGTTTAATTTCTTTTGTCTCAGTCCTGGCTTTTTTTTTTTTCCCTGCCGTTTGCACGCTTTTTCTCCCCCCTTTAGTGCAGAAGGGGCATGCCTCCGTCCCTCCGCCGAGGGTTTATTCTGGAGGAAACGGTTTAGGTCGCCATGATGTTTTACAGGGAAACGTAGTTTATAAATACGGCGGGGCCTGGCGCTACGAGGAAACATTTTATCAGAGAGCCCTGAACTGACGATTCAATTATTTTTCAATAAAACATCAGGGGAATGCGCAAACAGCTGCTCGCATCCTTCCACACAGCAAGTCAAACTTCAAGGGGAACAATAGCTGGCGAAAGGGGAGCCATTGCGGAGGCGGTGACAATGGGTTTCCTTACTCGGGGCTTTGTTTGATTTCCCCGTCTCAGTTTTGAACTCCCTCCGCCGGAGAAAGGCGAGGGGGTAGGACGGGGAGAGGGGGAAGCAGGCAGAGGGGAAGGAGGGTCAGTGGGAGTTAAAGCCTTTTGCAGCCTTTCTCTCCCATTCATGTGGTAATTGGGTGTCAAGCAGAGATCAGTAAGATGGAGCCCGGCCTGTGTGCCCGGGTTAAACTGCAGCAGAAAGAAAGCGGGAGCTGAACCGATGGAGGCCTGAATGTCATTAGGGTGGGAGGAAGCGCCTCTCCCCCAGGAGCCCTTCTGCCGGGGTGCTGGGCTGGGGGGGCCGCTTCCCATTCAGGGCATCCCTGAAAGCGGCCAGACAAAGCGGGAGGGCGTCCGAACAATGCCGCACCCCCGGCTCTACCTTCAATAGGGAGCTCTAAACAGGCGTTTAACCTTCAGAATAGCTGAAAGTGATACTCAAAGCTGAGGAGGTGGCTCGCCAGCCGCTGCGTGCAAAAAAAAGGCACCCACAACGCGGGGGGGGTGCCCCCCCAGCCGCTGTTAGCCTCTTCCTGCGGCCGAGCCAGAGGCCACTTGGATGGCCGGAGGCGAGGAGGGAAGATCTTGCCGCCCTCGCTTCCTCGGCCCCGTTGGCACAGCGCTGGGGGTGTGCAGGGCCCCGTGCGGGTTGTGGGAGGTGTCACCTCCAGGGCAGGATCAGACCCCGACTCCTGCTCGGGCTGGCGAGATGCTGGCGTCCCTGGGGAGGGCTGCTCAGCACCCTCGAGGATGGGGCTAGAGGAAGGCAGGGCCATACTGAGGAGGCGGATGTGGCATAGTAGGGGTCGTATCCCACTTCACAAGCCTGGGATTATTTGGCGAGGGATCTGGGGAGATCTGGGCAACGACCCCCCTCCCGAGCCAGGGGGATGTCCCAGCCTCAGACAGAATTGCCATCGCCCGTGATTCCCAG